ACCCACCGACCAGTCTCTCCCACGCACCCAACCCAGTCCTCCTCGTTTCATTTCTCAATTCTGCCTCCTCGCTATCTCGTCTAGTCTAGGGTTTGCATACCACCCCACCACCACGCGAAGAAACAGCTAGCGTAGGCCCAGCTCCTGCATCCACCCCTCTGGCCCTCGCCATGGCTGCTGACGAAACCACTGATGGTGACGACGAGGCACGTCGTCAACTCCAAAAATCACCCCCGCGAACGGGCCTTAGCTTTCTACGAACCCCCGCTAATAAGCTGTCAGATCCGGAGCCCGTAGTTGCTTCTACCGAGGATGAAACCCGCGTGGATGAATCGGGGCATGACCTGTGCTCACCTGAAGTTTGCACTACCACGACGGAACCTTCACCTCCAGAAGCGACGGCTCCAGAAACGGAGATAGGCGATGCGGCTGGCGACTCTGCGAACAAGAAGCGCAAAGAATCAAGCGGTGGCAGTGCTAAGCAGTGGTGACGACAACCGAAGCCCTCTTTGAAGCGGGCGGCACGTCCAATCCGACGAGTGGAGGACGAGGGGAGTGATGACGAGGAGGATGAAGACGGCCTGCCGACTGTCGAAGAGATGGCCCGTTACCCCGAAGTCGCTTTCGCTAAAGCGCATAAGCGATTTTAGACGTCATGGGAGTCTTTGTTTCCGTGGCTAATTTTAACTCGTGATGACGTTGGCTTCCCCATTTTGAGATGCAGCACGTGCTTGGAACATGGAGCTGAAGGCGCGAAAACGGCTTATGGCAAGGGAGGCAGTGGAGGGTGTGACATGCAGAAGGGGAGCATCCGGACGCACCAGCGCTCCACCGCACACCAGGACGCACACGTCGAGATGAAGTCGAAGGAGAGCCGGAAGCTTCGTCAAACGCTGCTGAGCGAGTTCGAGGGGTTGGATCGCAGCACGCTTCACATCATCACCGCTCTCAAGACTACCGTGTACATCTGCAAAGCGGAGGCGACAATCACCTCCTACGTGGGCACCATCAAGTTCATGGCCGAGCTCGGAGTCCCGAACCTTCCCTTGGATTCCAAGGGAAACTACTTTTCGGAGTAAGTTTCGGGGTACGAGGTGTCGTTGTACTTGTACCGTTACAACTGACTTGATTGGCAACGTGCTAACCTCTGTGCTTGTATCATGCAGGTACGGTTTCGGGGAGCTACTAGATGCTGCCGCGAAGTACATGCGGCAAGAGCAACTGAAGCAGATCGAGGCGAGCCCGTACATCTCCATTCAGCTCGATGAGAGTACTGACAAGGCGCGCGGCAAGCACCTGATCGTCTACGTGACCTTCATGAAGGACGGCGCGAGCGTCTGTGAGTTCCTCACGCTGTTGACAGTTGACAAATGTGACGCGGCAAGTCTCGTCGATGTGCTCCTGACCCACCTTGACGCCGTGGGCATTGACATGTCCAAGATCGTTGGTATCAGCACCGACGGCGCCAGAGTCATGGTGGGCACCAGCAATGGTGTTGTGGCACGACTCCGGCAAAGAAATCCCTATCTCATGTCGTGCCACTGCATCGCACATCGGTAAGTCCGTCTGTGTTATTGGCTTTAAGGCAGGTGTGTAGTGTTGATCATGTACCGCCCACTCACTTCCGTCGCTCGTTTTCTCTGTTCTACCTTGAGCAGGGAGGCGTTGGCCGCGAAGGATGCCGCTGAGAAGGTGACGGAGTTCAACATCATAGACCAGGCGGTGCGCAACGTGGCGGAGCAGCTTTCTAGGTCGAGCAACTGGCACCGGCGATTTGAGCACCTTCAGGAGTACATCTGCCAAACCAACTTGGAGATGCAGGGGATCCACGGCGTGCGATGGCTCTCTAGAGGAGATGCAGTCAAGCGGTTCGCCAAGGTTCTGCCGGCGACGATCGTCCTGCTACACGATTTCAAGCACGCGCTCTATGAAACGGTCACCTCTTTCAAATTCCACTTCATGCTTTTCTTCCTTGCAGACATTCTTGCCGTGCTCAATGAGCTCAACGCCAAGTTCCAGAAGCAGCAGGTGACATGTGGAGTGTTTTGGTTGTACATGTTTGCGGTTGTTTCCCAGCCTTGTTCCCGGTTGTTGTAAGTGGCGGTTGTTGTGTGCCGTTCTGACCCATTGTACATCAACCTCTGGCAGCAACCAGTCATCCCACCCCCACTCACAGGTTGACATCACGGTGGTCGCGGGGGAGGTGTCGCTCGCTTGCAGGACGATCGAGGTGCGTTACGTGGACTGCAAGGATCGTTTCGGCAACGATCAGTCGCCCCTGCTCTGTGCGTTCCTAAAGAAACACGGCAACCCCCAGCACCGCGAAGTCACCGTCAAAGGCGTGGACCAGAACGGCGACGCTGCAGAGCACGAGTTCGAGCTTCACGAGCGCAAGATCCCAGGCCATAAGACTGGCGGAGACTACTACTCCTGCAAGGCGGTGTGCCAGGAGTTTGCGAAGGTCTGCGTTGCGCGACTGGAGTTCCGCCTGGAAGACCTCAAGGACCTGGCCGGCTCCAAGCTTTTCCGGCCGTCGTGCTATCCCGACGACAACGCGCAGCGGATGAAGAAGTGCCGCGAGTGGTTGGGCATGCTAGACCACATGTTTCACCACCGCCTCTTTGGTACGCCACCTGGTTGTGCCTGCAATGTGCTGTCTGCTCTGTGTGTGTGGTTACCTTGGTGTGCTGTTAAACACCTCCCATACGCCCCTATCGCCCCTCTCACTGCTCTGCTCTCCCATCCTGGCAGGTGTGTGCTTCAAGGCGTGCGAGAGGGAGCTACCATTGTTTCTCCACACCATGGATACCAACCACGGCAACATGAGCTTCCACAAGTCGCTCTCGCTCATGCTCCAGTCAACTGACTACATGGGAGCTTACCCGAACCTTGTGCAGCTGTGGCAGGCCGTAGCTGTGCTCCCCCTCAGCACGGTGGAGTGCGAGCGTGGCTTCAGTCGCCAGAACCGTATCAAGACGTGGAAACGGACCTGCCTGGGCGACGCCAAACTGGGCGATCTGATGACTGCAGCACTCCTGCCCAGTGATGGTCTGAACTGGGTGAATGTGGTAGCCGTGTTCAATGCTAGCAAGAAGCGCCGTCCTGCCCAGGAGTTCCTGTATTGACTTGTGCTGCTCTGCTCCCTTGCTAGGAGTATTCCCCTGGAACCGGGCCAGGCCAGACCATCCCATATGTAGGTCCTGCTGTTGTTCTAGTTCTAGTCCTGTAGTATTTTATAGTACTTTGCACGTCATGTCAACCTAAACATTACACGTTGCCCCAAAAAAATGGTACAACTAACTAACCGAGGACCATAGCACACTGACGATCACGAGTAACAATGCAGCCAACACTGATAAACAAGACTGACATGGCTGCCCCACCCTTACTGAAAGACCAGCTTTGGCAAACTGCCCTTTCGACTAAGTGCTTCCAAACCTATCCAGAGGCCTGGTCAACACCCTTGCTAGTAGTCCATTTCATTCCTGGGTTCATAGTTCTGACAATTTCCTTACACAACAGTAACAGTCATGTAAAACATTACTGCGCTAAACAAAAACTGAAGTACTTTTCGTTTACCTCACCAGCTGTCTAAAATCAAATCTGAGGGCTGTAAAATTTTCATCATTTTGAAATACTGGTAAGACCTTAGCAGGTAAACGGGTAGTTACAGTAACCTCCGGCTGTAAGCTAGCTAGAAAATTGCTTCCTCCAGTGCTTAGTTGTCAGCAGTGAGCACCATAAGTGGTTGAGTGAAACTTGACCCTCTGTGGTCGTGGTACAGTTGCTCCAAGCTCCTTGCTCCGAACACATCCAGCAGCTTCCAACCAGCCAAGAGAAGAGGCATGCGTATAGGCCCATAGATGCGGTGTGAGTTGTACACAAGGGTGTCGTTGCCAACTGGCACTCCAAGAAACAGCAACCCCCCTGGTTTGATTAAGCCCTTGATCTGGTGGGCAGGGCATGTGCAAGAAGTGGATAGAGTCATGACGGCATGAGGGCACAGTTGGTCGCCCAGAATACTGCATATTGACATGGCACCGCACCAGCAACTCAACGGCACCGCAACAGCAACTCAACGGCAGTGATGCAACAACGCCCATATCAGGCCATGAGGCATAGCTTTAAGAAGAACATAAGAGAGGGCCCAGAATGATAAAGCAAGAGGGCGCCGCAGAGTGCAGTTGCCAAATAGAAAAAAGAGGAAGAGAACCCCATGCATGGTGCAAGGAAAAATCATGTGGAAGGAACAGCTAGAGTCCCCAAAAGGAGCATGCGAAGGAAGGCATAGGGTGGCTACAAGTTGGGAGGCTGTCGATGATGCCCTGCATCAGAGTGCAAAAATACGGCCGAATTTTTGAAAAATTGGCGTAAATAACGGTTTCACATTTTTTTGGTGTTTTTTTAGAGTAAAAAACGGTGAAATGTTGTAATTTTAAGATGGTGCAAAAAACAAAAGGCTGTTATTTACACAGACATTATGCATTTTCGCGCATACGAGGGGTGTTGCAATTTTTGCATAACGCAAGTGCAACGCGCGTGACCAATCACAGCAGCCCACCCCCATTTAACAGCATGCGCTCACCTTCTGCATGCGCTGCTCTCACCTTCCAACTCATCTCGACAAACCAGAGCAGCTCTCAAGGCACAAAGAGGCTCTGTTCAGAGCCATTTAACACCTAGTTATATTTGATTTAGGCATAGAAGAGCATAAGAACAGCTGCTGCATTGTAACAACGCCCTACCTCGCGCCATGGTTCGACCAACGTCAGCCCACTGGGAGAATGAGGAGGAGGAAAGGGAGCACTGATCACGATTAGTTTAAACCTGTTGATGTGCTGGCCAGTATTTTATGAACTGTTGGATTCCTTTGCTTTTTTTGCAAAATCTCTCTAACAGGAAAACGGCCGATTTTTTCAGAAATGACAGTTAAAAACGACCGTACCGTTTTATACTCCAACCATAATTTTTTAACCTTGCCCTGCATGCATTGCTTACTGTTATGACGCCAAGGCACAGCCACGAGCAAGACACACAGCTGAGGCAGAGAGACACTGTAGGGGATGTGCAGGTGCGTGCTGGGTTGAAACAGGGATAGGCGGGTGGAATGTTGTGTGCAGAAGCACACACATTGCCATCCGATACCTGAGACCTCAAGACGCACACGTACCTCACAATCCCCTCATCGCCCTGCTGCTTGCCTTGTGAGCACAGCAGGATCACCAAGAATGATCCCAGCATGAGCACATACTGTTCCACTGCAACACCCGTCTCCTCCCACTGTGAAAGGGCGCTCTGCGTCTGCTCCTCCGCACGCATGGCTGCGCCCTCGTCATCATCATCCTTCTGCATGCGCTCCTCTCACCTTCTGCATGCGCTGCTCTCACCTTCTGCATGCGCTGCTCTCACCTTCTGCATGCGCTGCTCTCACCTTCTGCATGCGCTGCTCTCACCTTCTGCATGCGCTGCTCTCACCTTCTGCATGCGCTGCTCTCACCTTCTGCATGCGCTGCTCTCACCTTCTGCATGCGCTCACCTTCTGCATGCGCTGCTCTCACCTTCTGCATGCGCTGCGCTCACCTTCTGCATGCGCTGCGCTCACCTTCTGCATGCGCTGCGCTCACCTTCTGCATGCGCTGCGCTCACCTTCTGCATGCGCTCACCTTCTGCATGCGCTGCGCTTACCTTCTGCATGCGCTGCGCTCACCTTCTGCATGCGCTGCAGGTCGCCAAAAGGGTTGATGGGGTCGCCATAGCGGCCCAGCCCGTCGTGCTCCAGCGAGGAGAACGACACCGCCACGTCAAACACCTCGTCCGTGCCCTCCAGCTCATCCACCAGCATCTGCCGCATCTTAGGGTGCGATGCGACGGGCTTGTTGAAATCAACGGTTGTGATCGCTTCCGCATCGAATCCGAGGCAGATGGACTCCACCCAGGGGCTGCGGCTGCCGATGACGAGCACGGACTTGCCGCTCACGGGGTAGCGCTCGAACGCCGCCAGGAACGCCGCCGTGACGTTGGGGCCGTACGACCCCAAGGCGGGGTCCCTGGCCCTCGCCTGTGCGGCGCGCGCTTCAATGTCGTCGGTGCTCCACACGAAGGACTTGGCCACTGAGCCGGGCTTGGACTTGCTGTGCCACCAGCACACCAACTGCACGGTGGGATGAGGGCCACGCACGCACATGCTGTCACACACGCGCCACGTGCTGCCACCACCACGTGCTGACAGCAAAGGGACATGCGTCTACGGTCGATCCACTCTGCATGCTCGCAAATGACTTCGAACGATTTCGTGGGGCATGTGATAACATCCTACACCCACCCGCCCTCCCCCTCCCCCCCCCCCTGCGCCCGTCGTACCGCGATGCGACCCCCCAGGGTGAACTGCTCGCGCACTCGCTGCCGCACGAACCGCCACGGCACGGGGCCCGGGAAGCCGTAGTTGCTGATGTGGAACCGCGTGCGCGCCGGCGCGCCTTCTCCCTCGCTGCCAGGGGTCATCCACGATGCTACGAGCGCTGCTGCGTCTGACGTGGCGCCTGGCGAGCCCGTGCGCGAGTCGGTGAAGTGCGCGAGCGGTTCCGACGGCACGTCGTCGTCTCCCTCGCTGTCCCCGCCGCACGGGTCGCAGCCCGCTGGCGGGACGGAGAGGGGGAAGGCAAGGCACGGGAGGCAGGCGAGGGGACGCGCGGGGTTCAGCGTGGAGGGGGGGGAACGCGAGAAGGTAAGGCGGGTGATGCAGGGCAGTGGGTGCGAGGAGAGAGGCAAGATGCAATGCGTGCACAGATGAGCGCAGTGAGGTGGCTGTGCTGGCGATGCCCTACAGCCCAAGACCGTCGAGCTGCCACATCTCATCGCCTACGTCGAGCGGTCAGAGCCACTGTTCAAGCACGGCACGAGGGAGCAGCCGCGTCGTGGCAGCAGCTTACATGAGTTATAGAGGCCGAATCGGAGGGCGAGAGCCAGCAGCGCGGCCGCGAGCAGCGCCAAGGCAGGCGCGCGCTTGAGCCAGTCGCGCGCAAAGGCGGCCAAGGGTCGCAGAGCCATGGGGCACGACGCGATGACACAGCGGGCGCGCGAAACAGGGAGACGAGGGACAGCAAGGTGGCGGACGCTGTGAGGCAGGGTGGCGACAGACAGCGGCTGTGCGGGCTAGCTCAGATCTGAAGGTAAGAAGTCAGCGCAAATGGGTAATTGTTACGAGTGCAATTGAGCAAACGAGCGAAAATTGCACTATCGAAGCAAGAACATCGAAGCAAAAACAGTACATTGAGAGAAGGAATGAGCTAAGAATATATAGCGAAGCTAGCGTGGTAACGATAACGCAAGAAATTGGGTAATCAAGGATTCCAGGGGTTGTCGCTATCAGGGCGTTTGCCCTGCTGGCCCTTAAATTTGTTAGAATACGTGAACAGGAAAATGAATGCATTAGGCACAAGTTGAGTACAACTACCTAACCCTAATTGCGTTGTACCCCATAGAATATGACCCACTACAGCCTAACATCACAATATTGTTTGACACACCCCCATAGGCGAAGTGGGGGATAGCAAGCATAACAAGCGGTCACAAGCAGGGCTGACGTTTCAATTTAGGCCTCCCTGAATCCGGGGAAAATTTTCCCCCTGTATTATGAGTGCATATTTTCCAGAAAAAAACATAACCCTGATAGCTCAGTGTTGGGAAGTTATATAGTCTGATTGTTCAGGGTCGAGAAGTCAGGATCAGAGTAGTAACGCGCTGTGCATTATCGAAACTGAACCTCGATGGTGGGGTATAGGAACAACATTTTTAGGAAACTTCTTCTCGATAAAGCGGGGGGCTACGCACATGGGGGTAGTCGTACAATGTTTCCAGAAAACTCGCTGTACGATCTCGATGGTGAGTGTGTCGTAACGAAATTTCGAAGAAACTTCGTTCCAATAATGTCTTATTCGGGGTCACTCACGCGCTGGCTCTACTCCGAACAATCCGAAAGCGGGGTTATTGAAAGGAAATTTCCACGAAACTTCCTCTCGATAAGGTCAAATTCGGGGTCCACTGAGTCGATACTCTGTTAAGTCAGGTTCTACTAACAGGCTAGTCTGTTACACTCTACTCAAAACCAGGGATACGAAACCTATTACTCTGATTGGATCTGGGTTGAGAACTCATTGATTCTGATATTTCAGTCTCCACAAAGTGAAAAACCTGAAATCACCCTGAAATCAGGGTAATTACCCTGATAAAAACAGCCCTGGTCACAAGACCAGTCAAGAGAAGAAACAAATAACAAAGCTCAGGGTAGATCTCAAGGCACCACACACTCCGAGCACAAGCAAGCGGCCACAAGGCCAGTTCACATGCAGTTTGATAGTAACACAAGCAGTACAATGATTAGAACCTAGCTACCAGAAACATGCAGGTTTATATATCAAAGTACAAGACAAGATCAAGAAACAAGCAGGTGAGGCAGGGTGGGCACAAGCCCAAGAGCAGTGCAGAAACGCTTATGATCACTATACCCAAGGGCCTTGGTGAAGACATCAGCAGTGTTGGCCTGTGTGGCCACGTAAGCAAGACGAAGCTGACCACGCTGTTGCAGCTCTCGCGTGAGGAAGTAACGGAGAGCAATGTGCTTCGTCCTATGCTCCAGTCTCTGGTCCTGACACAAGGCAAGCATGGCCTTGTTGTCGACGTACAGAACTGGAGGAGAACGAGGCCGCTCACCCAAGTCGGTCAGCAGGTAGGTCAGCCAGCGGAGCTCCTGTGCAGCCATAGCCCCAGCGTAGATCTCGGCCTCACAGCTGGAACTAAGTACAGAAGAAGAGCGAGTGGACCTCCACGAGGCAGAACCACTGCCGAGGCTGAAACTGTACCCCTGTGTCGACCGGTGAGTCGTCTGGTCGTCAGCCCAAGAAGCGTCTGAGTGACCGGCGAGAACAACTGAACCCCGTTCTCCAAGTACGAGCCCCATGCCCGATGTACTGCACAAGTAACGCAATACACTCTTCGCAGCTTCCCAGTGCACCTTTCGGTGTCTACCGAGAGCCACGTAGCGAGTAGGAGGCTAAGAGGGTACGCGAGGTCAGATCGTGTGCACGTCATCAGGTACATGAGGCAACCCACAAGCTCTGGGTATGGACCACTCGGCTCTACAGACTCGTCCGTAGACAGAGGAGTGGACTGTGGCAAGGACCACGTGAAGTCGAAACGCTGAAGGACCTGCTGCACCATGTGTGACTGAGTCAGGGTGATGGTGCGGCGTGCTCTGTCCCGGGTGATCTGCAAGCCAAGATAGCTCCTCAGCTCACCCAGGTCAATGCAGGTGTGTCTCTCCTGCAGCTCCGCCTTCACTAAGGCCAGAGCCTCAGTGTCAGCAGTAGCAAAAAACCAAGTCGTCAACGTACACGAGAACGTAGAACGGCGGCAAAGAAGTGTCAGTGCGCAGAAACAGCGAAGGGTCAGCAGTCGAGGGAGCGAAGCCAAGAGCCGCAAGTGTAGTCCTCAGTGTGTCGTGCCACTCACGGGGCGCCTGTCGTAGGCCGTAGACTGGTCGCCGTAGACTTCACTGGTTACCCTCAGGAAAAGACCCAGAGAAGCCACGTGGGCGGCGCAACCAGATAGCCTCGTGAAGGCTGCCCTGCAGGAAGGTTGTCGAGAAGTCGAGGGAGTGCAGTTCGTAGTCGCGCTGTGCTGCAACGTGCAGTAGCACCCGAAGAGTGGTCATCTTCGGGGTGGGGGAGAAGGTATGGAAGAAGTCGACCCCCTCACGCTAACATGAAGCCTCGTGCAACGTAACGCGCCTTGAAGGCAGGCGGAGAACCCGGCAGCCGCTTCACCCTGAAAATTCACATGCCATCGACTATGTTCGCCCCAGGTGGGGGAACCTCGTCGACGTAGGTGCCTGTGGACTTCCAGGAAGCCATCTCTGGAGTACGGACCCGTGATCGCCTCTGCATAAGTGCGTGGGGTCGGGATGTCCAGTGCATCCGGGTCTCCCTCAGGGCAAAGTAGCGTGGATGCGAGATGAGATGCAGCGGACGCTAGGCACTCCAGCTCAAACTGCCTGTCCTCAAGAACGTCACAGCCAAGGGCTAGCCCACCCTCGACGGACGGAGGACAGGAAGAGTCAAAAACAAGACTCGCAGTGTAGTCAAGGCGGCACAAAGCAACAAAGTCAACAAGCTCAGCAACTAAGGCAGACGCAGCAGCAGACTCAAAGGAAGGGTCAGTCACAACTGTAGCAAGGAGATGAGTGACAGTCGGAGTGGCAGCACGGACAAGGTCAGACTCAGGGTCAGGAACGTGCGGAAGAGAGGACGTGGGAGGCGACGGCAGGACAACACGCTGTGGAACAGAGGAAGGACGGAATGTCATATCGTGAGTGCCTGGTACAGCCGGAGCACGAGGACGACGAACACGACGAACACGAGCAGGGACAGAAGCTCTAGTCTCAGGCTCTCGACGCTCAGGAGTGGAAGCACGAGTCTCAGGCTCTCGACGCTCAGTCAGGGACTCTGTCACCGCAGTGTAAGGAGCAGGAGCAGGCAGCGGGGAGTGAGGCAGTAGCTGTGGCTGAGACTGGTCTGTCGGTGGGAACAGTAACGGAGGAGTAGTACCAACGACAGGGAACCCAGTAACAGCAGGTGGGAGACTGAGAAGGTGACGAAGCGCAGACTGCTGCGGCTGAGTAGTCGCACCCCCAGAACCTCCAGCTCCAGTAGCAACAACACCCCCAGAACCAGTACCTCCAGCTCCACCACCGGGACTGCCCCAACGGACAGCCCACTCGCGAATCTGCTGCGTCGAGGGCGACTCTTGCCGACTAGCACCACCATCTTCAGTACCTCCAGTAGCACCTCCAGTGTCAGCACCGCCAGTACCCCCAACTCGCGGAACAACGGCACTAGCACCTACACGGCCAGCACCTCCAGTACCTCCAGCAGCACCTGTGCCTCCAGTACCAGTACCTCCAGCACGGCCAACTCCAGGATCACCAGTACTAGCACCTCCAGAGCCAGCACCTCCAGTATCTCTAGCAGCACCTGTGCCTCGAGAACCAGTACCTCCAGTACGGTCAACTCCAGGAACACCAGTACTAGCACCTCCAGGGCCAGCACCTCCAGAACCTGCAGCTCCAGCATGTCCAGCGCCACCACCAAGACTGCCCCAACGGACAGCCCACTCGCGAAGCCGCTCCGGCGAGAGAGGCTCCTGGCGACGTGAGCCAGCAGCACCCACAGCAGCAGCACCTCCAGTACCTCCAGTAGCACCAGTAGTCCCAGCACCTCCAGCTCTAGCAGGACGAGCACGGCTAGCTCCACCACCAGAGCTGCCCCACTGTACAGCCCACTCGCGATGCCCCTCAGAGCTCCGGTGAGAGAGTCTCCTGCCGACGTGCACCAGTGCCACCAGCACTAGCAACCCCAGTACCACCAGTAGCAGAACCTCCAACTCCAGCAGTCCCAGCACCTCCAGCTCCAGCAGTCCCAGCACCTCCCGCTCGAAGACAGCTAGCTCCACCACCAGGGCTGCCCCACTGGACAGCTCACTCGCGAAGCCCCTCAGGCGAGAGAGCCTCCTGCCGACTCGTATCAGGACCACCAGCACCAGCACCTCCAGTACCTCCTGTACCCAGAGGACACTCAGCAACCCCAGAACCCCATCCCCCAGAGTCCGCATCCCCAGTGGCACCACCTCCTGCAGCACCAGAGTCCACAGCGATTGGCTGCAACGGCGGTGAAGACGGTCGAGGCGGAAACCCAGGAGGGACCGCCAAGCGCGCGGAGCGGCGGGGGGTCACGGTGGCAGCAGGAGTCGGGTCACCCCCCTCAGCTATACCAGAGGTGTCAGAGGAGACCTCGACTGGCTCAACCAAGGGGGACGAGTCAACCTGAGACACACCTGAGGGAGCAGGACCCTGCGGGGGGAGTGGGGCTACCGGGGGGGGGTCGGAGACCAGTGCGAGAGGCGGGAGGGGCACGGGGGAACTGCGGTGGGGGTGGAGACGGTAGAAGCAGACAGACTCGTCAAAGGTGACGTCCTGGGAGGAGAGAACATGACGAGAACCCGGGTGGTAAAACTGCCAGCCCGGGGCGTCAATAGGGAAGCCAAGGAAGACGCAGCGAAGAGTGCGAGGAGAGAGCTTCCCCGCGGGGGGGTCGCGAATAAGCGAAAGGGCACCCCAGACCCGAAACGACGACGCATCACCAACCTCGCCCGTCCACCGCAGAGTGGGAGAGGTCTCCGGGTGGGAGACATGGGGCCAGAGGTTGAGTTGCTCAGCAGCGTATCGGACCGCAAACGGCCACAGAAAATGGGGAGCAGCCGCATGGACGATGGAGGTGCGAGCAACCTCCATCACCAAGCCAATGCGGTGCTCTGCAATCCCATTCTTCTGTGGAGAGGCTGGAAGCGTGAACGTCTGGCGGATGCCCTCAGCACCAAAGAAGTCCTCGAGGAGGCCGGTGGAAAACTCACCACCTCGGTCAGAGTGCACTCGCAGGACCGGGAGGTCCTGCTGAAACCGAGCACTAAGCTGGCGACGGACAGCACGGATCCAGCGGATTGTACCCCATAGAACATGACCCACTACAGCCTAACATCACAATATTGTTTGACAAAACTCCATGGCTAGGTTTGCCATGAATGCTAAAATTGATGGGTTGCAAAAACTCTGGCCCTGAATGAACCTTTTTAAGGCTGGTTCTCGGCCGATTCCTAGTTTGTTAAGGATAAACTTTCGGCCCTTCCCTGAAATGAAGGGGGGATTTCAGGCGAACCCTGGAACAAGAAACAGCTCAATACCCCTTCCTTCCCCCCTCCGCCCCACCCCCCTCAATCTACATGACCTATCACCCCATTTCAAGTTTGTGGTTGGGCTGCTTTGCCAATCATAAATACTGTGGGCCAAAACTCCAACTCCCTTGCGACTACACGGAGAAAGCATCATAGTATGATGTCAGAACTAAGGGGCAAGAATGAGTGCATTAACATGAAGGGGTAGTACAAGTAGTCCTAACCCTACTGGGTTGTACTCAGTACAGTGTACCCCACTATAGCCTAAACAACATATAACAGACTTTGACACACCCCCATAGTGTCAAAGTACAATTCTGCTTGTTAGACTATAGTGGGGCACTCATTATGGGGTACAACACTTTTCTAGGTTTAGTTTTTGTACCCCATCCTTTCCTAGTCCAATCATTCTAATCTTGACATGGTTTCAGAGTAGGTCCCGGTTAGGACCGATTTTTTTTAGGGCCCACCGTATTCGTTCCGCACTGCCCGGCAGTCGTTTTTCCCCTGCCAGGCCCATCGTTTCTGCCCTGACCAGCACGCCATCGCGCTGCTGCCCTGCCCTGCACAGCGCGCTACCTGCCCAAAGCTGCGCGCTGTCGCGCTGCCTAGTGCGCTCGCCCGCCTGCTGCTCGCGTTGCCCGTGCGCTGCCCGCCCGCTGCCCACGCGCTACCCGCGCTGCCCGCACGCTGCCAGCGCTGCCCGCACGCCGCCCGCGCACTGCCTGCGCTGCCCGCGCTGCCCGCACGCCGCTCGCATGCTGCTCGCACGGCCCGCACGCTGCCCGCACGCCGCCCGCGCTGCCTGCTTGCTGCTGGCCCGCCGCCCGCTGCCCTGCGCGGTGCATTGCTCGCACTGTCTGCGTGCTCCCTGCCTGAGCCGCCCGTGCTTTGCCCTGCGCCGCCCGCTCACGCCCCTGCCCTGCCCCTGCTGCACTGCCAGCTCGCACCCTGCCCTGCCCTGCTTGCGCGCCTGCTGCTGCTGCTTGCACTGCCGCCCAGCCGAGCCGCCAAACCGAGCCGCCCAGTCGAGCCGCCCGTTCGAGCCGCCTTGCCGAGCCGCCCTACTGAGCCGCCCCTTACTGCTGCTACTGCTACTACTGTTGCTGCTACTGCCACTACCGTTCCTCCTATCATGGCGACCCCTACTGTGCTCACCTTTGATGGCGAGGGCCACCCGGTAGACTTTGAGTCCTGGCTAGAGGATCTCCACTGGTACCTGCAGAGCCAGACTAGGGAGGATGTCTTTCTCTTTGAGCATATCTTGGGGTCCCTCGATGCCCCTCTTGACTCAGCTGCTCGTGTAGGCCGGTCCAAGTGGACTTCTCGTGACGCTACTGCCGCTCTTGCTGTCCGTAGCCACCTTCCGCTAGATCAGCGCTCCCACTTTTGCCAGCTTTACGACGCTTTACGACGCTGTAGTCAAGCGCTACTCGTCCCCGTCATCTGCCACTGTAGGCCGCCTGGCGCTGCCGTTCCTCTTTCCTGAGTTGTCGGACTTCACCACGGTAGCCGACCTCCTGACTCACCTGCGCTCCCTGTTAAAGTTATATTTAATATATCCTGCTTGATGTAGTTGCTATGGTTATTGGTCTTTGCTATTGGTGGTGCACCTTTGGTTTGGACTATAACTTGTGATGTTTTCTATTATTGAAACACTCATTCTCGATTCTCTCTTGCACAACCAACTCGACACCCGCTTGGCCTAGGCTACTAAGCCTAGGCCCTAGGTTAAACTCGTTTCCTAGCCAAGACGCTATCGTGATATGGTATTGAGCGATTAAGATCTTGACCTAAGTTAATGGGCCCACCATTCCCGCCTGCTGCTGCCCGTAGACCCGACAATCGACCGTCGTTTTTGCCCATGGCGTGCGCGGCCCATAGCGAGCACGCCCGCAAAACCGCCGACGGACCCGCCAACGAGTGCGCCAACGGACCCGCCGGCGGACCCGCCAGCGCGCGCGACAACGGGCCCGCCGACGGACCCGCCGACGGACCCGCCAGCACGTGAGACATTGGGCCCGCAGACGGACCCGCCGACGGACCCGCCAGCACGCGAGACATCGGGCCCGCCGACGAACCCGCCGACGAGCCCGCCGAAGAACCCGTCGATGGATTTGCAAACGAGCCCGCCGTCGCTCTGCCCGTCGCATTCCCCCCGTCCCCTGCCCGTCTCCCCCCACGTCGCGACTGTTCGCGGGTGTAGCGGCGGTCGCTGTGGGGGGGAGAGGGAGGAGGGGAAGAGAGTGGCGGCGGAACGATGTGGGGGGGAGGAGGAAGGGGGGAAGGGGGTGACGGCGGGACGTCCGCCAGCAACCGCCACAGTGCCGCCCGTCTCTCCATTCCCCCCCTCCCCCGTCGCCTTCCCTTCCGCGACTGCGGCTGTGGGGGGGGTGGTGGCATGGAAGGGGTGGCCGCCGTGAAGCCACTGCAGCCTCACCCTCTGCCTTGCCTCTCCCCTCCCGCGGCTGCTGCTGTGGGGTGGAGGTTGCGGGGACGGGGGGTGGGGGGGGGGGGCTGGCCGTCGTGTGATTGGCTTTGCAGGGACCACTGTGTGTGGGGCAGAGGCTGGAGGAAGGAAGGGGGGAAGGGGGTGCAGTTCCAGGGGGCGGCTGAAATGGGGGGTGAGGTTAAGGGGGGTGGTTGAATGGGTGTGGGGATTTGGGGGTTAGTAAGAGGGGTTTCGCCGCGCTTGGCTCCCCCCCACCTCCTCTCCTCATCACTCTCTCACCTCCCCCTTTATAAAAAAGGGGCTAGTAAGAGGGGTTCGCCACGAGTGGCTCCCCCTCACCTCCTCTCATGCCTCTCTCTCACCTCCTCCTTCGTTCTCCTCTCCTCTCCTCTCCTCTTTCTCTCTCGCCTCCTCCTCCTCACTTATCTCTCTGCCGCCTTCCACTGCGCCAGGTTTACCCCTCAAGAGGTGTTGACTGCACGAGTTCCTACTTCAAGCAGGTTAAGGGGGTGTGATAAACCCTAAACCCTATCCTGCTTGCTGTAGTTACTGTAGTTATTGGTCTTTGCTATTGGTGGTGCACCTTTGGTTTGGACTATAACTTGTGATGTTTTCTATGATTAAAACACTCATTCTCGATACTCTCTTGCACAACCAACTCGACACCCGCTTGGCCTAGGGTACTAAGCCTAGGCCCTAAGTTAAACCCGTTTCCTAGCTAAGACGCTATCGTGACACTCCCTTGAGACCCGCTTCGCTGCCGCCCTCGAGCCCGCCTTTAGGGCTGAGAACAAGCCACCCATTTATCTCACCCTTTACTTTCGCACGACCCGCCTCCCTGACTCCCTTCGTGCTGTACGCGACCACTTCCCCGCTCTAGACCCCACGAAGATCACCCTCGCCTCGTTTGAGTCCCGTCTCTTAGAGGCTGAGTCCGCTGCCCTAGCTGTCGCTGCCTCTCGTGGCACTCCCCTCCCCTCTGTCTTTGAGGGTTGCTCCCCCTCCCTGCCCGTGACGTCTGTTGCCTCTGCTGCTGCTGTGGACCTCTTCGGTGCTGAGGAGGTCGATGCTACGTCTGCTCCTAGTGGGAGGCGCCGCAGCGGCAAGGGCAAGGGTGGCAAGGTTGGGGGTGGTGGGGGTGGCGGGGGCAGCGGTGGTGGTGGCGCGGGTGGTGGTGGTGGTGGAGAAAGAGGTGGAGGCGGCAGAGGAGGAGGAGGGGGTGGTGGGAGCACTGGGGGTGGTGGAGGGGGTGGAGGTGGCACTACGGGTGGAGCTGGCGGAGGAGGAGCTGGAGGTCCGGCCACTCGTTCAGCTGCGTCTGGTGGTGCAGCGGGTGATGGAGGCGGCTCTGGGGGTGGTCAGCAGCAGCAGCCGACAGGCGCAGCTCTCGCCGCAGTAGCTTCGTGAGTGGGCGATCCGACGTGTCAGCTCAGGTGGCCCAGCTCGCTGTGGGTACGTCCGTCGCACAGGTCAGCCTGGAGCGACCTGCACTCACACCGACCACACCGAGTCTCGTTGCTTCTTTCGCCTCGACGATCTGTATCGTGCGGAGCATGGTGAGCACATGACGACTCCTGACTGGCTCGCCTTGCTGAAGAAGGACATAGATGTTTTTGCTTGTGACTGGGCTGTGATCCATGCTGGCATGTATGCGATGCATGCTGCTTCTGCTAGTGTTGAGGATGACTGTTACTCGTGTGTGCCTAGCGTTGCTATTGTAGAGGCTGCTAGTCTTGATGCTTTTGTCTTAGCTAGCACAGGTGCAGAGCCTGAGGAGGCCTTACACACTTTTACTCTCGACTCAGGCGCGTCTCGTTGCTTCTTCCGCGACAGCACCACAGTCACACCGCTCACAGCCCCAGTCCCTGTCATTCTGGCCGACCCCTCTGGGGCCCCGGTCGTCGCTTGTTCGGCAGCCCCTTCCGTCCTCCTCACAGGTCTCCACCTCCCCTCGTTCGCTAAGAACTTGGTGGCTACCTCTGTCACTGTCAGTGGGCCACTGTCACCCAGCCTGGAGGAGAGCTTGCGGCGATCTGTACGGACTCCCGCACTGGTGAGCACCTTGCCACGTTCACTCGGAGGCCCAGGTCTGTGTCAACGAGAGTTGTGGTTGGCCCCGTCCTCGCTTGGACGGAGCCGACTTCGTAGTCGGGTGTGTGGGGAGCGCAGCCGATCTGCTGCAGTGAGGGCGCCAAGCTGGAGGGCGCCTAGCTGAAGGGCGCCTAGCTGGAGGGCGCCGAGCAGGAGGACGCCGACTTGGGCGCCTGGACGGCGTCCTGGGAGGCTGGACGCCGACCTGGGCGCCTGGAAGGCGTCCTGGGGGGCTGGACACCGACCTAGGCGTCTGGACGGCGTCCTGGGCGCCTGGACGCCGACCTGGGGCGTCTGGACGGCGCCCTGGATGCCTGGACGCCGACCTGGGCGTCTGCACGGTGTCCTGAGCACCTGGACGCCGACCTAGGCGCCAGGACGCCAACCTGGGTGCTGGGACACCTCTTCTAGGGACGCCGGTCAGGTGTAGCCGGCGATCGACTGAGCTGGGCGACCAGGCGTGGTTGCCCGGTCAACCTGGATGCCTGGGGTGTGCGAAGGTCGCCAAGGAGGCTTCTGCGAAGCCGACCTCGAGGGTGGTATCCCGAGGTCGACGTGGCTGGTGGGCGCAGTCGCTGGCGTGGAGTCTGCTAGGCGTCTGCTCTGTGCTCGTGACAAGGTGTGGAGCACCAACCAGCTGCACGCACCTGCGAAGCAGGTGCACCGTTGTTCTGCGGGTGCAACGCTGTGCAGCCGACTTGCTGCAGCGTTGGCACACCGTGGACTTGCACCGTTGGCAAACTGCTACTCTGCAACGCTGGTGCGGTGCGAGCGCTGCTGCGCTGGAGCGCGGTCGACCATGCTGCGCTGGAGGTCGACCAGCAGCCTAGCCTAGCTCTGATGTAGTCTGTGATGCCAATGTTGTTTCTAACCATTGTTGTGAACTTTTCCTAGTGTAACTCTTGCCAATTCTCCCCGTGAACTAGCAAGCAGTACAAGGACACGACTAAGGAATGCCTAAGGAACGAACGAACGCAGAGATCATATGAGCATCCGTGCCTAGCCCGTGGTCTAGCTCCCGTTGATTCAGTTATCTCCGCATGGTGCGGTGAGCGTGGAAGGCACACGACTTACCTTTCAGTCAGTTCGACGTAGAGGTCACTTACCTATTGCGTGTTTGTAGGCCGGCAGTTGTGCGCTAGTCACCATGGTAGGCGCCGTAGGTGACGCAGGGGTGGTTGACACCCTGGAGGCACAGCTGGAGGATGCGAGGAGACGCCATGAGGCCCAGGAGTACGGAGCTATCCCCTGGGCGGTCGTCGAGGCTGGACTCCGCACCGTGTGGGTGACGGAGCACCCTTCTCGGCCTGCCTCTCCTCGACCGGTGAACACCGAGGGCGGCGTCGACGTGGGCGTCAACGCCGGTGGTGGCCAAGTCGGCAGCAGTGCGGGAGGCACGTCGAGGCAGCGAGGAGTGATTCATGCCGATGAAGTCGGCGGCGTTCAGGCACGAGGGATGCAGTCGTTGGCGGCTGCAAGCTCCTCGCAGGGCGACGTCGGTGGACGTCGGAGCGGTATGACGCCAATGTCGGCGACCCATGTGACTGCGGGTGGGATATCACCGAGCTACGGCTACTTCAAGTTCACGCCGGACAGGATCTCGGTCACCCCCCTGCTCGTTGGTCGACCGGACATCCTGACCTGGAAGGAAGCCATCGAGCCCCAGCTGGAGATGGCCGGGCTGATCGGCTTCGCCAAGGGCACTGTGGCGACGCCGGAGGAGCACTACCCCGACCTGCGTGCGGAATTTTGCGCCGTGCAGTTTCTGACCTTCACGGTCATCTCGCGGTGCTGCTCGCCGGGCGTGCAGATCGCCTTGAAGTCGTGCAGGGAGTACCTCGACGCCGGCCACCGGGCATGGCACTTCATTGAGTCGTCGTACCAGGTCACCGACGACCTGTACATCGGCCAGCTTGAGGAGCAGCTGTCACACATACGGATGGGCGAAGAGGAGTCGGCGACCGACTACTGCAACCGGGCTCGGCGAATTATCGCCACCATGAGGATGGCCGGCGTGCACTATGTTACAATACTAAGTTAACTAGGAACCGGGTTTAGGGCCTAGGCTTAGAAGCCTAGGCCAAGCGGGTGTCGAGAGAATCGTGGCCAAGGGAAGCGAGAAAATGGTTGTATTCACTATAGGACCAAAGGTACATATAGCAAACAAACAAGAGGTGCACCACCAACCATGTTTGTATAACTACACTAAAGCTAAAGCTACAGGCAGTTATAAACATATATAAATATATATCGTGACACACCCCCTTAACTGCCTGCAGCACATAACTGGAGTAAGTCACACTCCCAGAAACCTGGGCAAGAGGTAGGAGAAGCAGAGGAAACAGCAACACAGATCAGCCATGATAAATGCAACAACGGCAGGTGCAGGACCCGAGAGGTGGGCGTGAGAGCAAGCGCCGTGGCTGCAACGAGCAGCAGGACAGCGCAGCTCAGCACCTCCGGGGGCGTGCCTGCTACAGGCAGCAGGTGCAGTGATGGCAGATAGGGCCACAGTGACCTCAGCCACGGCAGATGCAGTAGCGACAGGTGCAGGACCCGGCATGTGGGAGTGAGAGCAGGCGCTGTGGCTGCAACGAGCAGTTGGACAGCACCGCTCAACACCTCCGGGGGCATGCCTGCTACAAGCAACGGCTACAAATGCCCGACTTACTTCTTCCACCCCCTTACCCGCCCACTCAACCCCTCTGGTACTGGCGGCTGGCGCTGGTGCTGGTTCCTGGTGCTGGCGCTGGCGCCGGTGCTGGTTCCCTGTGCTGGCGGCTGGCGCTGGTGCTGGTTCCTGGTGCTGACGCAGGCGCTGGTGCTGGTTCCTGGTGCTGGCGCTGGTGCTGGTGCTGGTTCCTGGTGCTGGTGCTGGTGCTGGTGCTGGTTCCTGGTGCTGGCGCTGGTGCTGGTGCCTGGTGCTGGTTCCTGGTGCTGGCGGCTGGCGCTGGTGCTGGTTCCCTGTGCTGGCGCTGGCGCTGGTGCTGGTTCCTGGTGCTGGCGGCTGGCGCTGGTCCTGGTGTCTGGTGGCGTGCCGGCGCTGGTGCCGGTGCTGGTGCTGGTGACTGGCTTCGGTGCTGGTGCTGGTGCTGGCGGCTGGCGCTGGTGCTGTGCCTGGTGCTGGCGGCTGGCGCTGGTCCTGGTGGCTGGTGCTGGCGTGACGGCGCTGGTGCCGGTGCTGGTGCTGGTGACTGGCTTTGGTGCTGGTGCTGGTGGCTGGCGCTGGTGCTGTTCCGCCGCCACTCCCTTCCCCCT